GTTTTTGTAAGATCCGCTTGTATATGGAGAGTCACCCGCAACTGAAGATCTTCATTGGAGGTAGCCTTGTTTGTATTGTTTGTTCGCTTTTGTTGTATGTGTTTTTGGAGGTCTTTTCATATCTTGGAGACTCAGGGAATTTATGCATATTGTTCTGTCTAGTATTGTTGAGCCTCATTGATTGCTGATGACGCGCGGGTGGATGGACTGTTTATTGTTTAGTAGATTTGAGGTCGTGCAGCTGCAGACCAGAAGAGGAGCTGAATGTTCTTAGTTTGAGGATCGTGCAAACTGAAGCAGGGAAGAGTTGCATGTTGTCTTAGCGTGTTGAGGTCTTTCACACGGAGACTCAGCGGATGGAGCGATGTTCTAGATCTGTGGGCATGGAGCTGGGAGAACCCGGAGAGGAGCGGATGTTTAGATTGAGTGCTGCAGACTGCAGACCGGGCAGGGAGCCGTGATATTTCTAGATGAGGGTCGTGCAAGCTGCAACCTCGGGAAGGCAAGCGGTATAGTTCCAGATTGAACGTTGTGCAAGCTCGGAGAGATTGCAGTAGGGGGAGGGAGATCGCAGGTGGCCATCCTGAGCGAAGCGAGTTCAGCCGGGGCGAGCAGGAGAGACCTGCGATGCTGCACCAGGCGGCCCACGCTGATCGTTCCGCGAGAGTCCCCGCCCTTTTCACATCTGCCGCCATGAGCGCCAACATGCCCCAATTGGCGCTGGGAGGTGCTTCCAAAGGACCCAGTCCCTCCCAAGGTGGCTCCTGGACTTGGCTAGGCTCAGGCAAGTTTTACAGGAGCGCAGCCTGTCCTAAAAGTCCTGCAGGACAGCAGAGGACAGGCCGAGTGTATCGAGACAGGAGTCGAGGCAGGGCGCCAGCTACATGGAGCTGGAAGACTCCGCAGCAGGTGAGAGCTAGGAGGCCCAAACATAGATTGATGGTCAGCGCGTGCACCCCATGAGAGACCGCCGGGAGGAGCTGATGTTCTCGATGATGGGTCATGGAAGCTGGAGACCCCAGAGAGGAGCAGATGCTCGTAATTTGAGTGCGTCATGCGCCTGAGGGATACAGCGTCACCGGGAGGGCGGACTGGAGTGAAGCGACTTTTATGAGAGATGGCGATAACAGCGGCGTCTATAGAATTGATGGGCCGGTTTCGGATCGGGCGAGGGACAGGGCGCGGGGCAGAGCGGCGGGAGCGTCAGCTTGATGGCGAGAGCGGGGGTGAACCGGGGCGAGAGGACCCGAGACCAGGCTGAGAAAACCATTCCCCATAACGGGCAGGGGACGCCAGCCCAGACAGCATGAGCCTGGATGACCAAGAATTGGTGGGTGCGAGGAACTCGGAGAGTAATTATGATGTGTTTCCTTGCGCCGCTGCAGTGTGGCGTATGAGGTCTTTCAAGCGTGCCTCAGGGAGGACTTGATGTGCTAGATTTTGTGGGTCCATGGATGCGGAGACTCTGGGAGGAGCTGATGTTCTAGATTTGAGGTCGTGCAGTGCTCTTGCATGTACCCGGGGAGATGAGCGGATGTTCTAAGTTTGAGGGTCGTGGCAGGGCATGCAGACCTGGGGAGTGAGCTGATGTGTTTCTAGTTTGGGTGAGTGGGGTGCAGTCCGTGCGAGACCCAGGGATGGAGGATGTTCTAGAGTTTGAAGGTTGTGCAAGCGTGGAGATTCGGGAGGGTAGCCTGAATGTTTCCAGGTTTGAGGGATCGTGCAAATGAAGACTGGTCAGGTGAGGTAAGCTGAAATGGTTCTACGGTTGGGAGGGTCTGTTCAACCGGCAGACTCTAGGGTACCGAGCCTGATGTTCTAGATGTGTGGGTCATTTGTGAGCTGGAGACCCAGAGAGGTAGCCGGAAGTTTGCTTTTATGATGTTGATGTGTGTTCGTGCAGCTGTAAGATCCCGTTTTGAGGAGCTGGATGTTGTCGTAGTTTGAGTTCGTGCTATGGTGCTGCCAGACCTGCAGAGATGAGCAGTTTGTGGTCTATTGATTGATTATGGTTTTGCATTTTTGTGTATTGTATTCGGAGAGATCTGATTTGTTTCCAGTTTGAGGGTCGATGTCTACTGGACAGACTCAGCGGATTTTGTTTTAGTTGATGTTGTTCGGCTGTTGTATGGGTTGCCTTTCCCAACTGGGAAGACTCAAGGGAGGTGGCCTGGATGTTGCCTGATTGTCGGTCAATTGAGCTGGAGACCCGAGGAGGATGGAGTGTTGACCTGAGATTGGAGTTTCATGCTAGCTGGAATGACCGTTTGTGTCGTGGTGTTGAGCGGGGATGGAGCAGATGTTCTAGATTGGAGGTCGTGCAGCTGTAAGACCCGGGAGGAGCTTGATGTTGTAGGTGTTGAGGTTCGTTGGTGAGTCGCAAGCACCGCGAGAGGAGCAGGATGGTTTCCTAGATTGTAGAGTTGTGCAGCTCGGAGATTCGGGAGGAGTTGATGTTGTTCGCTGAGTTGAGGGTCTTTTCGAAAGCTGGAGACCTCAGGGAGGAGCTGAGTGTTAGATTGTGAGGGGTCGTGGGAGCTGGGACCCGTTTCGGTATAGGTTGAGTACTGATTTGTTTTGTAGTTTGAGGGGTCTTGCAGGCTGCAGACCGCAGAGAGGAGCTGATGTTTCTACGATGAGGTTTCGTGCAGCTGAAGACCCTGGGAGGCGAGCGATGTTCTAGTTGAAGGTTCGTGCAGCTGCAGATCCGAGAGAGGAGCGGATGTTCTAATGATTGAAGATTAGTGCAGCGGGAAAGAGTTTCAGGGAGGAGCGTGATGTTCGTAATTTGAAGGCCCTATAGCCGGGAGACCAGTGGAGGAAAGCTGATGGTCATAGTTTGAGGATCGTGCAATCTGAAGACTCAAGGAGGAGCTGATGTTGTTCACGCTGTGAGGAGTCTTTCAACCTGGAGACTCACAGGGACGGAGCCTGATGTTGACTAGATGTGTTGGGTTGTGAGCTGGAGCACCCTAGAGAGGCAGCGATGTTCTGACGGATTGAGGGGTCGTCAGCTGAAAGACACGGGGAGGACGCTGATGTTGCAGTATTGAGGGTTCGGGCAGCGCAGACCCGGAGATGAGCAGTGGTTTCCCTATGATTGGAAGGTTGTGCAATGGGTTGGAGATTCGCAGAAGGAGCTGATGTTTCTCAGGTTTGATGGGGGTTTTGTGCTATACTGAATTTTGTTTACTTTTTTTTGTTTGTTAGTTAGGTGGAGTGCTGTGTTGTTTGCATTTGATGGGGGTCTTTTCAGTTTCGTATAGACTCAGGAAAGCCTTGATGTTCTAGATTGTGAATGTCGTATGGAGCCTGAGACCCGCGGAGAGGGTATGCCTGAGTGTTTGTATGTGCTGAGGGTCTTGCAGCTGCAGACCTCAGAGAGGTTAGGTGGCTGATGTTCGTATGTTTGAGGCTTCATGCATGGTCTGCAGATTCTCTTCGGTATGATTATTGTGTATTTTC